AAGATCCAGAGCGACAACGAGGAAGAAAACTAGAGCACTTGGAAAATCTTATAAAATAAAAACCGTTTCGAATATCGATTTCAAACTTCGCGTTACGTACCTCGTTAAGGCACGTCAATTTTTTCACTTGAAAGCAAATTCTACAAAAACCTCAACAATCGTCATGAGCAATTCATTAAAAATGATGTCGGCAAACCTTCTCGAACAATTCGCTTCGCAAATCCCTATCAGAGATTAATCCGGACCAAGAATATTCTCTACTACAAAACAAGGAACGTTGAAACAGTAACAAACCAAGTTATTGGTAGACAGTTATCGATAATGATAAATGTCAAGAAAAATCGTCTTCCGTAGTGACGTAACGGTCAGCCGCAGCTGTTTAATGCTGATTCGTACAGTGCCATTGTTAATTTCAGGATAATTCACGAGCGTGTCAGCTTGGAAACGATTTTAACCAGATTAGAAGATGACAAAGTCGAAGCTTCGTAATTGGTATTCAGACTTGGACGACTTTTTACCACGTTTGCTGCCAGACTAAAACTTCTGAGCAACGAACGTGAGATAAAGTAACATTAATCGCAGAGAGATTCTTATGCTCCGAAAAATTCTACGGTCTGTTCCAACGCAGATATTCTTCGAATAATAGATGAACGGGGACTCCGCGCTTGACGATTTATTCGCAACGTTTATTCGATCAAACGGTTATTTGGATGAGCTGTTGATTCGCTCGACGTGAAACACAGTTCAATTGTATGATTCAGATTCCAACTGGGGGAATGGATTATTTCTCGGTCTAACAAACAACTCTCCTAAAATGTACTCCGTTTCGAGGGCCGACTCGCTCCGTCAAAAAGTCATCGTTTCGAAAAAAAAAAAGAACGACCTCTATACAAATCAGCCTGTCATTTCAATGGAATTTGTTTACCTTTTGTTCGCTCTTTGAAGTGCTTTATCTACACGAGACTTTCGTCCATCACCGATCACGTGTGAATTGAATGACAAAGAAATTCACTGCGATTTGTTAATACCAGAAAGTGGATCCGCAGTGCGTTTATGTAACAGAATGAGATATTTTCTATAATAATTTCACCTGGTTACAGCGTTCGCGATCGATGTACGAGAAGGATTACGATTGAACGCGAATGATGTCGAATGAAACACGAGTTAGGTGGAAGTAGGAAGCAAAAACACGCGAGAATTCTATTAGTCTCACCTTGACCTTAGGCCACGTGCTTCCGCATGGACTTAGGAAGGACTTCCAGGTCGCGAGTCCTGTCTGGATCGCGATCCTCGAGTCTTTCCCTGTTCGTGACCTCTGTCCGTCGAGTTACACCAAAAAAAAAAAACGCACTAAGCGCTACGGGCGCTCTAGTTTACGCGAATAAACGCGGGATAACTGAGCCTCGCTCTTGTGTCAATGGCAATGCTCCCCTACTATTTCTCTATCAAATCGAATGATAAGCGGGGGCGTCATTCAGAGGACGCGTTATCAATGGAGAACTGGTGCTGACATCTCGTCAGCGACGCTCGCGATTATCGAGGGACGCCGACTCGGAAGGTATCAGAATCTGTTGCAGTCTGTGCTAAGGTACCCGACGCCAACGTGATTCGCTGAGTAAAAACGATGAAACTATGTTGAATTTTTAGATGGTACTCTCCAGGTAGTCTTCTTCGCATCAAACGTTTATCGCGCGACAAAGAAAGTCGAAGAGAAACGTAAGAGTGACGAGAGCGAATGAATATTGACAATGCATTGGCGTAACAGTGAAATATCACAACGATCGAACAACTATTTACTCAAATTTCCCCGTGACCGTGATTCTGTGACATCTCACTACTATGTATTGGATGGAGCAGTCTCCGTCGCCAATCATCCAGCAATGACGGTCTCGAAGAGTGACAAACCCATGAAAACCGTCGAGTTATTTTTATTTCGTCGTTGCAGGCCTGACTTAGACTTTCGAGACATCGGGGGAGGTTTCTAGGTTGGTCGTTTTCGCAGAACGCCGCGACGCTCGACGTCCAATGCTGCGGGGCCATTACGATTATCTTTAGCCGGCGAAAAACGACGAAATGGAGCCCCGTCGAGACGACGGAATGACTCGCCACTGTCGCAAAAGGAAGAAAGGGAAAAGGAAATTCGTCGTTCCAACCGGGTTCAACGGCAACAAAGACGTACATGAATCATTTTTCTGTATACGATACATGGGGTAAGAAAGATCTTTTCTGGCGACCGATTGGGGCAGACGTTATAGTCAGTCGTTTTAGCAAAATTTTCTTTTCGGTTTCTCCGATTTCTACTTATCTCGCTATAAAAATACGATATTACATTCCGAACAACCCCGGTATAGAATAACAAAGAAAACGATGATTCGGCCCCCTCGAATCCGTAGCATGGGTTCATCGCAGTGGAGATTGAAGACAAGGTGTCGACGGCTTCTATTTTTGTGAAAATTCAGATTTTATTTCATTTCTTTTTTTTTTTTTATTTTTTTTTTCACGTTGTTGTTCAATTTTTCAGTAATCAAAGTTCGGTGTTTCGTCGTCTCGCGAAGAGTTCAGGTGACGTGCGAAAGCAACAGACAACAAGAGTCGCGACCTATCGTGAGACCAAGACGCGTTCGCCTATTTTCTTTCTCTCGGAGAACAATAATTCGTTTTCTTTCATTTTTCATTTCTTTCTTATCCGTTTCATTCACGTTTAACCTATCGATAGAGCGTATAATAGTTAATATTACTGAAGTATAACAGATGATATATTACAACCGTTAATCCTAAGAGAATAGGATATCTTTCGAAAGGATCATGGTACCCGTGGATCAGATTACGCGTGTCTTTCACGTCCTCGAACATTCGTACTTCCATCGCGACGGAAGATTCATCTCGCATCTCAATCAAGTCGCGTATTCTCCTCGCTTCGTCGTTAAGTACATGAACAATAATGAATAATCAATAATGACGATAATAATAATAGTAATAATAATAATAATTAATAAGTAATAATAATAATAATAATAATAATAATATTAATAATAATATAATATCAATAGTATTAATTTATTTTCCTATTACCTTAATCGATCGATTATGTAATAATTAATACTTAACGTTATAATCCATCCTAACAAACGCCTCTTTCTCTAAACTTTTTACAAGACTTTTGGTTTCTTTTCTCCGTTACATCATGCGTATATTAACGTACTACTTAAAATTCTAACGAATCGAGTTAACCTCGTCTAAGGTCTCGAAGAGTTTAGGACTAGACAGTCTCATTCTTCATAGCCCGATCCTCCCTCTCTCTTCCGTTCACGCTAGAGCTAGTTCACCATCCCGTTCAGTTTCTTCTGTCGGTTTCCAAAAAAAAAAAAAAAAATCCTTCTTTTCGTTCAGTTTTTCAGCCCCTGTACACGAGTTAGGCGATTAGTTTCGCGCTAACGAAATCACTGACTAGTTTCTAACCGTTAAGACTACTCGGTTGTGCTAATTAAGGCACCAGATCACTTGTAAGATTGGACGAACGAACTTTATCGGGGGTAGAATAGTATTTGAATCGTGAGACAGACGGAAATGTTAATTTTGAGCGATAGCATATGGGTTTTTGTCAATATTTCAGCCAATTTGTGGTGGGGCAAAGTTCTATAAAAACATTAGAAAATATTCATGTAAATGTTTGTGATGTATTCTATATAGATGACTTCTTATATTGTTTATTTTTTATGTGAAAGTATTTCTAGTCACAAACTTAACTCATGATCTTCCAAGCGTGAGGTTTTTTAGGATTTTTTAATCTTACATGCTTGGCTTTCCTCGGTTCTAAAAAATATTCTATTAGAAATTCTGTGCAAAATATAGTAGAATATTCTCCAGAAGATTTCTAAAATTTTCTGATATTTCTCATTTTTAGAAATACAGTTTAATAAACTTCATCCTTGGAAGATCACAAATCACTTCAATTTTTATTCCGAAGAACCAAGCCCCACAATTAATAAACATTGCTGAAACAGTTGTAGACACGGATCTTTTTATGTAATTTGACGACAACTCCTCGCGAGGGTTGATTATCGTCATTCGGATAACCAATGAGGGCGCAATTCGTTCGTCCGTTGGTCCTCGTTGAATTCGTACCGCGAAACGATGATTCGTTTGAATAATTCTCGTTAAGACACGCTAGAAAGGCATCGTCATTAAGACACTTGGGTGATTTCGCTTCTGAGCGATCTCAAGACAACATCGACGTAATTACAACCTGCGACCGCCGTCACTTGCAAGTCGTTGCTTTACCTAAAAGCGTCTACAAACATTCATCGAATCGCTTAGAAAAATCCTTCCTAATCGATCGCGAACGAGATATACTCCTAAACGATCAATTATATCCACGAAGCTGGCAATGCCATGCCGAAATGGACCCCTTCTCTCCCTGTTTAACATTTTCGACATTTTCGAGTAATCAGGGATCGCACAAAGTGTTCCAATTTAAACGTCTGGAAATTGACTGTGAGAAACGGTTGTCTCTCAAAGTCGACTCTATTCAGCCACAAATAGTTTCAAAAATACTTAGAAACATTGCTACTTGGACGCAAAAATGTTAAGGCGATTGAGGAACACTTTGTGTTTGGTACATACTTCGAGTACTCGATTTCTGAGTACCCTCGTGAGTCTTGAACTACGCGGAAGCTTCGTGGCCATTTTATTCGCGCTGAGGTCGTCGGGTGCACAGAGTTTCCTACGCAGAAAGTAGAAAAAAAAATCCCAACGTACCTACTGAGCTACACAGCTACCGAGCTACGATATGTTCAAAAAAGATAGCGAACACGAATAAATAAAACCACGTGACTTGCGACGGGACTCCATGCTCCAAGTAAGTACAGATCGAATAGAAGTTACGTAAGTTGCTATTTAAGTACAATAATTAATATTCTGCAGCGAAAGTGTCGACGTAAGAGAGAATGTATAAAAATATCAAATAAAGTAACACAAAGGGACGTACGTTTAAAATTGATTCATAAATAACTTCTGTTGTGATCGTAAAATTGATTAAGATTTATTATGCGATAATTAGACTGCAGACGTTTATGCATGTACGTCGAAGGGAAGTAATGGAAAATCTATGAGAAGATAAGATACGCAATAATTTAAGATTAATTTCATTTTCAGTGTCTGTGAAACTGTGCATAAACATTCGCAGTCTGGTAAAAATATATTTGTAAGTAAATTGTTAATTAAAAAATGGAAGTTATTGATGAGTCAGCCCAATAATTTCCGTCGTCGTCACGTGGTTTCGTTCATCATGTACAACCGTTTGATTCTAAAGCATTTCCGCACGCTTCGACCGATATTCAGAAAAGATATCCGACGAAAGCGCCGAAACGACACCGTCAGAAATCTCCCTCTCTGGAAGATCGCAGCAAAATCGCGATAACGGACCACGAAGAACGCCGAAACGGTTCCTCGTCGAATACTGGAAGAAACGTGCCTTCGAATCCTGCCAACGCCTCGAGATTACAGGTCGAGTGTAGTATCTATCAATTCTGAATACGGATCGGTCTTCCATTGACTGAGCCATTGATTACCGAAACATTTCGTTTACAATCATTGACAATCGCCCGAGTGATCAGTAATCGCAAACTACAATTCGTGACGGGAAGTCCGCGCGCGCGCGCGCATCTATCGAAGAAAAGCCTCTATTCGTGCTTCCTTAATTATAAATAATCGTAAACGTCTCGTATCTTCGAGTACTAATTGGCTGAGCGCGCCAATGTTGGCCCTACAAAGGAGAACGTGGCAAAGGAAGATTAAGGTGGGGAAGATTTAAAGATTAAGTAAGAAACCGCGAGTCGTCGATCCTGAGCAGCCACGGCGTGGGCGTCGTCCTCGTTCTCGTGTTTTCTCCGACGGTGCGCCGTTTCCAGAAAAGAGAAGAAGATATGAACTCGTGAAAACGCGGAACGAAACTCCAGAACAGCTGACAAACTAATGGTTGGGGGGGGGGGGGGTGGTCGCACGGTGTCTTCGATGAAAGGCGTCTGGCGAGGATTTCAAGTTCGTTGCGGCGAGGATCGAGTTTTGAGTCGCGACGGTGGCGACACTGGGATTCCCAGCGATGGTTGGGCCCCGAGTTCTACTGCAATCTCGCTTCTTGGGGCGTTGTTTGGTACGGGAGACCTGGGAACGCGGCACCCGCCGCCGTTGCAGCTGCGGCCGCGGCTGCAGGCAACCCTGCTGCACCTGGTAGCGCCGCGTACGTATAGGGTGTCACGTAACTAGCCGCTGCCGCGTTTGCTGAAAAAGAAAGGAAAAAATCAGTTGCTCCTCCTTGCATTCTTGCGTGGTTTATTCTATTGGCGCGAGGCGGCTCGAGAAGCACAGATGGGGGTTTCCCTTTGGACACCGAGTTAAGTGCGAGTGTTTTTGGAGCATCAAAGATGGACCAAGTGATCGTAAGAAGTTGTTACTCCATGATAGGGAGCTCTATTTAAAAAAAAAAAAAAAAGAAGTATTCGAGCTATTCTTCAGTAATTGTCGAACGAAATACCTTGAGCCTCCCCAGCTGCTCGCGCCAGTTCCTTAAATATCAACACTGCAAAAGTAATATCTGTACATCTTTTCTTTCAAGAAGACAAACTCTGTTTCTTCGAAACGATACTATGTAGCATCGCATAGGCGAAAGCTTACAGACTACTGTCATCTACCGTGACAACGTTCCCACCACCACCATAGACAGCACATCAGAGCATTAACCAAATTCGCACGTTCGTCGTGTACGAGTGCTAAGCCAACGCAAGCATGCAACGATGCGTTTCCATTTTTCTCGTAAATCGGACAAACTTCTTCGTAAGCGCTCTTCTCTCGTTCGAATTCGTAAAAGTGATTGCAGAAAGTTCTCCTGCGATATGCGTGGCTCGTTATTCGGATCCGTGTAAGCAATTTCTCGGGAAACAACGCATTTCAATGTAAACACATCAACATTACAGAACATTCACTAACTCAAGTTTGAAGAAGCGACAGGTGAGACGAGCAGAAAGGATTCCCGCAGCAAGATTCCCAGCAGAAACATATTTAGACGAAAATTTCGAAATACGACGTAAAACGATTTGACGAAGTGCTTGCTGGAAAGGAAAGGGTTGGTTGTCCTCTACCGGCGAGTAGAAGGACCACTCGACAAAGGAGATGGCAGCCTGCAATGAATCATGCGAGAAAACATGGTCCGTTTACATTGGGCCTAAGTCACCAACCCCTTGCACTCCTAAAGCCAGCTGTGCAGTGCAGGCACTTGAAAGCATTCTACCCCTATGATCACCTGTAGATACTCGAACGCATCCTACTACCGTAAATAATAAATTAAATTTCCCCGCCAAACTATATTAACTATTTATGCACACGACTTCTTAACAACAACTTCCAAATCTAAGGAAGAACTCCGAGGAATTAACTACGAGCGCAAAGGGGTTTGCAAAGCATCTAAACGTCCCTACTCCCGAATGCGTGGGAATCTTGCGGATCAGACTACTCCACTACGGTTTAAAAAAAAAAAAAAAAAGAAAGAAAGGAAGACGTCACGCGATATATCCCCTCTTTGGCTCTCACTCTCGCACCCTTTCAACTCTCTCGCGAACCCTTTCGTTTGTTTTCTATCTTTCTTTTTTTTTTTTTCACGGAATGGATCGTCTACCGTTGCTACGTAGCAAGGACGGCAGAAAGGGCGGCAGGAGAGCTTTCTCCAATCGTTGGTGGGCCAGCACCGCGGGGCTGCCGCCGGTGTGCTGCTGATGGTGGTGTATCAGCCCGTTGCTGTCCTTGCTCTGGACACTTTTCAAACACATACCGGCCGCGGCGGCGCTGGTATACGGATAAGCCTCGGCGAAATTGTACGATGTCCCCGGATAACTGGCGGCCGCTGCAGCGGCGTTCTGATACTCGTAAAATTGGGACGCCGCCGCCATTGCCGCGGCGTGGGTCAACTGTGTTGCCGGAAGCGGTACCAAACCACCTGGCGCCGCGGTCGCCAGGTACGGCGACTGATACACGTAACCCGGTGGCACCCTGAAACGAAAACGATCGTCGGTTAGAAGGGATCGCCGCGACCAATCGGAACGCAGCGGCACTCAGACATCTAATACAGAGAATATTCGTCGACTGATCCTTGGTGGACTCGATAATTATTATTGATAATTATTTTCTGCGTGTTATTGACGTGGCTCGGTGGTCTGGTAACTCCTGGCAGTGTTTGAGAAAGAATTTTTATTGATATTGTAGAGATATCTAAGTAGGGGAGGTTATTTTAGTTGTATGCATCTGGGAAATCAAGGTAATGAGGCGAGAAGTCTTTAATCTTTTGGTTATGTTTGGTAACTTCAGTGTTTATTATTGCTAACTATTTCTGACGTCCTTTCTAGAATGGTTTACTGATCATGGGAATAGTTATTTTATTCTTGTGTGTTTAGAGATTCGAGGTAGCGTGGAACTCTTTGAATTTTGTTATATATTTTATTTTGTAACGAAATTATGAAAGGCATGTAATATGTCGAAAAACAGAATTGTTCGGTTTTAAAAGAACAATGGAACATTGAACGAAAGCATTTAAGAATCGATAACAATACATTCTCAATAGTTATTCGGCAATATATAAATATTTGGTAACTGCCATATTTCTTCCAAATAGAATAACACAGATTGTTGATTAAAACGTTGTAAGAAATAACCAAGCTGTCTCCGAAGTAGCTAAACATAACGATGCAACTGAAAAACTTTTTATCACGGTTATATTTAAATTTTGACAGACAGCTAGCCATACTTAAAGATAACATACCGTTTAATAACTAGGAAAACCGCAAAGTGTGTCATACAGTCGATACACGAAAGACTGTTGAAATGCATGGAAAAATTCAGTAACTGTTCAGTTTTCAGTTCAGTTTTCTTCGACTGTTTCGTTCGCAAGAATAAATTGTACGACATAAAAATCTCATGTAAATGTACCGACCTCGTCCTCTTTATCGATCATTTGTTTTTATTTTCTACTTAAAGCGACAAACGAATGTATTCAGTGATACTATTGAAAGTAAAATTAAAAACCTATACAATTAATTCGTTATGTTATTTTATTATCAGATTCATTAATCCTAAACGTGTAACGTCATGAAACTGTGATAACGAATGAACGCATCGAATAAAGTGGATAATATAGGCATTGTTTGCTTTGTCGATTCATTATTAATACCTTCAATGAATTCAAAATAGCGTTGTTATTCAACGACACAATGGCTGACGAACTTCAAAGGTGGTGAAACAGATATAATTAATCAGGTCGTTGCATTTAATAAGAGAAAGTACACGGAGTGTAAAATAACTCGCTAAAATTAATACAGAAACGCGAGTAACGATCAAATGGTAAGAAAGAAATTTATTAAAGGTTTTAGAAAATAGTATCATGGTCGATAACGAGGTCAGGAAAGCGAACGTATATACTTTCCAGTATAATTTTGGTGCAAAAATTTCAATTATACTCACAAATTCTTCCAGTTTGAAAACTAAAAGAACCATTGCACAAGATAATCTACACTTCGCGCTGATTTTTACGCTGATATACACGTACATATTTTTTGTTATATTTACGGGATAAAGCTGATCGTCAAATTTTTCGGATTGATCATCTCTTGGAGGTACCAGACCATGAACAGCCACAAGCTTCCATAAACCATGACCAATAACATCGACATTTTGTGTCGAGTTTAAAAGTTCCTGGCTTCCACATCGTGGAAGTGCTATTCAAAGATAAACTTTCGAAGCTTCTTACTCCCATTTTTCAAGCAGTCCACCAAGTTTGCTACATAATCACACTTGCTTCTTGAAGCAACCTACAGTCCACGAAGCTCCTTGATTGTAAACAATTTCTCGAACGAGTCGGGCTTAATTTCACAATCAACGAAACTTGGCGAAAACCGGAAGCTTCAACCGTACATTTCTCTTTGTACAGTTAAGGAACCGAGGAAACAGGAGAAGGAATGGCGCTAGAACGTTTCTTCGTATCGCCGTGTACATGTGCCTGTGTACCATGAATATTCCAAATTTCGAAATAATCAAAAAGTGTGACTATCTTGAAAGAATAATAATACAATATAATAATAATATTGACTGGAAAATATATACACTACAAAAAAAAAAAAAAAAAAAAAAGAAAATAGCCATATTTCCTGTCAATTACGAAATGTTCATCTTTGGTTCGTGTACGGCGCACGAATGAAGGAGGAGGATAATCAGGCTGGTGGATGGAAAGCAATGGCGGTATATGAAGGACTGAGAGACCATAGTTGTGCAAGTAAAAGAAAATACAAAAAAAATTGAATTGCACCAGAGCTGAGCACCGCGACAGTTCCAGCGCACGGCGAGCACTGAAACGATCCTGGTGACCAACCCTGACCTACACCACGATTTCACACCTCCCGAAAAGAAAGCAGTATGAAATCATCGCAAGCTCCACCTTGTGCTCGTTCATTTCTCTTCGTCTTACACCGCTACGATTCTCAGCCCGTCGCTAGAGGGTGGTGTGGTATCACTAAGGCGTGACAAAAAAATGCGCAACAAATCCAAGAAAAAAGAAATCCTCAACGTGTCGGCAAAACAACAGCAAACCAACGACAAACGTGTATGTAGGTAACTCCACGAATAATAAAGATACTTCTCGACACACGGCACACGGCACACGATTACCTAACAACAACAACGTTAGTACCTAAAAATTCACAGGCCTAAGAAAGAAAGAGAAAAGTGATACGTATCACGGCGTCTGTCTTTGTCTCTATCTCTTTTTCCTCTCTTTTTCTTGCGATCGCGTGCAAACGCGTCGATTCAATGCGACGCGAACGACCGAAAAATTTTGCACGACGCCGAAAGGGAACCTCCCCCCCCCCCCCCTCCTTCTTTCACGATGTGCCCCTTTTCGAACCGGTATCGCGATGGAAAGAAATTTTTCTCGACTGGAACGCGTCCACGCGACGGAAACGTTTAAGATAAATAATGGTTGAGAAAAATTAATTAAGTTTCTTCTGTTTATTACTTACACCACTTCCCTCCCTCTCCAAAAATATGCCTACTCGAAAGACGAAGAATCTTCGTAAATATAGAAATTAATTTTATTTCCCCGTCCTCAATCTAGATTCGCAAATGGGATATTAAATTATAGTAATTTATTTTCAACGTAAGTGATCCATTATATGCAATGGATTAATTGCTCGTGAAACGACGCACGAGTCACTTAATTAACATAATGGATGAATGCACGAGGAACGAAAGACTCGAGCGAGCTGCCGACGCCAATGGGCGAAAATTAATTTCGTCGGATGGCACCGATAACTCGGAACGATTCAATTGAAAATCGTGTTTCCAAAGGACATATAAACATGGCAGACAGCCCTGAACTTTTTAACGGATCGATATAGCCAGTGTCCAGTCCGCGAAGGAAATCAATATGTTGTCCTGCGGCTTCAAATGATGGTCCGTTCGTCGGATTGGTGCCCCTCTGGACATAGGTTATAACACGTATATGCGTCAACGAAACGTTCCGAATTATTTACCCCCTTCGCGTCATTTTCGATGGTTAAATCCTCCACCTCCCCCAGAAATTGAGTCGCTGATTCGAATTACGACGTAAACAACTGCATAATATACAAATCTGGATAAAATAAACTATGATAACGAGAAAATAATTTGAAGAGTCCTCGGATAAATAAAAATTACGTATTAATTGAATGAAAGAATAAAATTGTAAGTGATAAGAAGAGCAGAACTGCGAGCAGTTTATGCAGTTATTAACCCAGCCTTGAATTATTAACCTAACCTCGGAATGGAAATTGAATGAGGATACGCATCCTTCCGTGGCGAAAATAGCGAAACGCTTTGTAAATATTCCTGCTACTTCTTCCGTTGAAAGAGTCTATTTTACATCAGAGAATGTAGCGAGTATAAAAAGAAGCTAAAGAAGAAGCGAAGACTTCTTGTAGCAATTTAATAACGAAGTGCGTGTGTACGAACAATATTAGAAACGTAATCAAATAGTTGAATAATCGAATATTCAAGTAGGCGAATACTTAAATACTCGAACACCATTTCACTGTAACTCAAATCATATTTCACGAATATTTAAATCGCTAAAGTATTGAAGTGATCTAAAATATCTCCAGCTTTGTTTTAGACCAATCTCATATTTACGACACTTCATCACCTTCACTTAGAGTGGGTGTGAGGACATCACCTGCTATATATTATACATCTATGTGCGTAATATATATATATATATATATATATATACTTTCTGTCTTCCGGTTTGTTGGACTGATCGCCTCGAAGATTAGTTTACCGGCGTTCGCCGTAAAAATATTACGCTTGGCTCGTTACCAGATGGCTGCCAGATGCTTTCTCGGGCACTTGCAGCCAATTTCTTGGTTCTGACAATTTCCCCCGGCGAGAACTCCGCGCCAAGTTTACGGAAATTAATAAGGCGTTCGGCGTAGCGTTTCTTTCGATGCATGAATATTTTCGTCCGACCCCGACGGACGGGCATATGTATTCCGATTTGTTAAGAAGAGGCACCGATTTAATCCCGCGATCCATAATGATGCAACGACTCGATCGTTCACCGATGATCTTGCATTATAAAGAAGCTGCGCTCTGACAGAAATATTACCCGACTCTTTACGAGTTGAGTTGATTACACGAAAGTTGAACCTCTCTGTTTGTAATTCATATCGTTTCTATTGGGAATAATTCTTAGAAGAAAAAATAGTTTGGACTCTCGTGTGATTAATTTTGTTTCATAAATTTATCGTATTTTACGATGACGATCAATTCGTCATTTACTAATCGTCCAGCGACTAATGGATGAAAGAGTGTGCGCCAGTGTCGCTGAAGAGGTTAAACTATTACGTGCACAATGTGAACGCGTCTATAGTATTTCTGAGGAAACACTTATTATCATTAAAACTGCCATCGACTGTAACACGTATAGTCGTGACAGTTGCGCCATTCGCTGGCAAGCCATGGAAACGATC